TATTTTCAAATATTATTATACCAAATTTTATTTATATATTTTAACAATTTAAAAAAGTAGATCAGAGCTAAAAAAATTGCAAAAATGCAGGCAAATTTGCCTATGTTAGCCTACTATCTAAGGGATATATTTCTAGTTATGCTGTTTTACAATATGACATTATATTCTCATTTGCTAGTAAAAAGTCAATTTAAACTAAGTTATTATTAACTACAAAAAAATTAAAAAACTTTTGATATTAATAGTTAATAAAAGTAATTAAATATTATATAATTAAAAAAATAAGTATTTTTGAATAAAAATATCAATATTAAAATTAAAAAAGATTTTTTAGTATTGGTTTGAGGTGTTAGTAATAAATAAGTTAAATTTCTTTTATTTTTAAAAGAAATAACTTAAAAAGTTTTCTATTTGTAGTATTTTTAATTTTGATTATACCAAATTGTATTGTTAAATTATATTAGTAGAAAGTTAGAAAATAAAATAAAAAGGTTATTAATTGATTTTTTAAAAATTAGCTTGATGAGATTGTAAAGTGAAATTGGAATTGTTCTTTAGATTAAAAATAAGATTAATTAAGTTAAAGATAATATTAAAAATTAGATTAATTAAGTTAAAGATAGTGTTAAAAATTAGAAAGTTTAAATTAAGAACTTAGAGGTGGATTTCAGATATAGTATCTAGTGGATAACCTATAGACAAACTCTTAATTAGATAATGACTAAAGTTATATATGTGGCTAGTTGCACTTTTATTAATAAACTATTATATATAAATATATAATCATATAAGAATTGGTTTTTATAGTTTAGTTGTTAAACTCTTATCTTTCTACAAACAAGATTAATAGTTCAAGTTTAACTAGAGGTAAATTCTTTATAACCAAAAATGAAACCTATAATAAATGCAAAGTCTTGTAAAAGTTCAAATAAAGATATATATTTAATCTAAGAAATTCTTAAAAAAAATCAGTATAGAAAGCACAGACACTACTATAGTAAGAAATATGAAGAATGTTATTAATATTTGTAAAAAGAATTGGCCTTACTTAATATGAAATCATCTCTGTTGTCATAAATCCAAATAGATGTAATTATGAGATCTACTTTCATTTAGTAGAGTTTGCATCAAGAATAAAGTAACTCTAAGGTCTGTTATTAAAAAATTAAGTTGGTACTATAGAAAAAATATTAAAAATTAGAGACTTTAAATAGAAAACCTACAGTTAAGTTTTAGATATAACAATTAGTAGGTAACCTGTAAATGAAACCTTTAAATAAACAATGATTAAAGTTGTATAAGTGGCTAATTGTAGCCTTATTGATATGCAAAATGTAATACTTTCTACAATATTTGTAGATTGTAAGTCTTAATAAAAGATTATAAGCCATAGACATCACTCTTTAAAAATCTGAAAAAAAGAAAAAAATATGCAATTATATATTACTTAATAAAAACATACAGGCAAGATTGTTGCTTTAAACTAAAGAAAAAAAAATAAACAAGATTATTAAAAAAATAATATTTAATATAATTATATAAAGTATAAATACTATAAGATAAATATTTTATTAATAACATTTTAATATAAAAATAATATAATTTTTAAAATATATCTTTTAATACAAACTAAAGTTCAATATTTTTTTTGTTTTTTTATTAAACATCATTTGATAGTTTGTTTTGTGTTTTAATAAACAAGAGCTCATATCTTTAATAAGTTAAAAATTTCAAAGAAGATAAAATATTTATTATAACTAATAGTACTTGATTTTATATAAGTTTTTATTGAGTAACACCATATATATTATAATAAATTAGTTGCATTGTAAAAAATACATATTTATAAAAATAAAATAAAAACAATATTGTTAAAAAATTAAATTATTTTAACTAAATAAAAATAAAATTAACTATTTTATAGCATAATATTATATTTTTTCTATATTTGTAATTATAAGAGGTTTAAATTTTATAATTATATTTTTATATTATTATTAAATTAAGCTATAACTAACTTAATAATTATCTAAAAGCTGATTATATATATTTAAAAAATATTTAAACTATATTAATTTTAAAAAATAAAAAAATAATATTAAACAATAAGTGCATAACCTTTTTAAATACATGCTTGTAGTTGAGTACAAATATATACATATTTTCATAATGCATTTTTTTTATTATTCTTTAATTATACAGTATATTATAAAGATTATTTTTAAGAGCATGCACTTATAAAGGTTTTATTGTTTTATAAAATGCTAACTTTAAGTAATATATTTTTGATTATTTATTTTAATTAATTTTTATTTTAAATAATTTTTAATAAAGTTTTATATTTGTCTATATAGAATATTGAAATTTTTACATTTTTTATTATTAGACATTTTTCTGAGAAATTGCATCTTTATCTATTATATAACCAATCATTTAATAACAAACCAACTCTTCACAATCCCAAAATACCAGAACACTTCAACAACTAGTGATGGTGCTTTCTTTAATAGATAAGTGTAACTTTTTTTTTTAATATTATTATTGCGGCTGAAGCTTGAAATAAGGCTCTCGATTTAGAAATATAAACTCTAGCAAACTTTTATTATCAAAACTAACACTAATCAAACTATTAAAAAAAATGGCCCAAAAAATATCTAAATTTCATATTAAAATAATTAAAATTTCAAGCTTCAGCCACGACATTTATCTCGTATAGAGGTCAAAATCTATTTTATTAAATGTTTCGTTTGTTATTCTTCATGTAACTTAATAGCAAAAGTTCTTGCAACAATTTATTCTAGTACATCTGATTAGGTGGTTTATGATGATTTTACCTATTATCTATTTAATTAAATGTCCGTTCCCATTCTTTAATTACATTAAATCGATTGGTTTATATACATTACGAACTACATTGATCTTACAAGTAATATAACTAATTATCTAACGATAAGTAATTCATAAATTCATACACATTTGCATGACTAGGATTTAGTTCCAACCATTTGTATAACTGATACGCTTTACTATTGTCCTCAATGGAGGATCACCTCGAGCCAAACCCTTAATTAGCTTTGTCGGTCATTGCGCAACTACCCCGGTGGCACCGATATATTTTCACTGATCGACAATTTTTTTAAAGACATAAAACGCTACATTAGGGTCAGGTTTATAATTATAACGATACTTGTTTTATACTAAAATTATCCAAGGAATTTTTTTTACTAACGCGCAAAAGATAGTTACATAGACGAAATTTTGAGTTACGGCGATTTTTTTAAAAAATGTTAGTTTTTGTTTTGATTTCACGTTTTACTTCAATCACGGTGGCGCATTTCAGGTCCCGGGTCATATGGCTTGGATCAGGTACTGACAAACGTACAACTTATGCAATATGTAGATCAATATAGTGGTCAGTAAAAGTGGAGTGAATTTTTTGATGCAGATATGGTTTGAGTTATATAGATATCAAGAATGCAATTTATGCAGCATGTAGATCGTATATTAACTTTAGCCGACCCTTTTTATAGAAATAATTTACAGTGTTTAAAATAATAACGTGATAATAGAGTAAACAAAAAAAAAAAAATGTTTTTGAAAAAACATGGATCTATTGATGCCTGGTGTCAAATTGCCCATCCTAATTTTATCAAAGAAGTTCCAGAAGTATCAAGTCTTTTTATAAAATCCAAATCATCTACCGAGTATTTAGAAAAAGGACTCACACCAGAACAAACAATTGAATTAATGGATAAAGCCGGAGTGGAAAAATTATGTTTAAATGCTTGGTATAGACCTGGAAAAGTAATAATTTCTAATGATATTATAAGTGAATGGATAGAAAAATATCCAAATAGGTTTATCGGAATTGCAGGAGTTAATTTACTTGATCCTTTTAATGCAGTTAAAGAATTGGAAAGAGCAGTTAATGTACTTGGTTTTAAAGGTCTTCGAGTAATTCCTTGGCTTTATAATATTCCACCAAATGATAAACATTATTATCCACTTTATGTAAAATGTATTGAATTAGATATTCCATTTTTTACCCAAGTAGGACATACAGGTCCATTATGTCCATCTGAAACAGGAAGGCCAATTCCTTATATTGATGAAATCGCACTTACATTTCCACAATTAAAAATTGTTGGAGGGCATATTGGTTATCCATGGACAAATGAAATGATTAGTGTTAGTTGGAAGCATCCTAATGTGTACATTGATACTTCAGCATACCTTCCTCGTTATTATCCACAAGAACTTATTCATTATATGAATACATATGGTCAAGATAAAGTTTGTTATGGTACAAATTTTCCTCAACTTAATTGGAAAGATACAATGGAACAAGTAGATGAATTAGGTTTAAGTGATAAAGTTAAGGAAAAATTTTTATATAAAAATATGGCAAAACTGCTCAAATTAGAAAACAAGGCAAAATTATAAAATATTTATTTCTAAAAATGACTAAAATTTGCGAATTAGCAATTTTATTACGTACTACGTATTTGCAATTAGTTACTTGGTATACGACTACTATCATTAATTTTTTTAAAATTATTTTATTATTACTATGAAATTATAATTAGTACCTCAATAAATATTTTAAAAGCGTGAAAAATTTGCATCATGTTATGTGAGCTGTAAATTAATGTGACAATAAATTTTATTAAAGAATTCATTTTTAAATGATTAATGAAGTTAGGGTAGTGTTTATGAAAAAATTATTTTTCAATATTTTTAATTTTTCCGAACTAATATTATTATAACAAAGGTTTAAAGTGGTTAAAGTAGTATTTTTATAAAGAGCCTTCGCCAACGCTTTTCCTTCTTCAAAACCAAGTTGATTAAAATAAAGACTTAGAGAAGTTAATGTGGTATTTGTATAAAGAGCTTCTGCCAATGCCTTTCCACCTTCAGAACCAAGTTGATTACAAGAAAGATTTAAAAAGGTTAAAGAAGAATTCATACTAAGAGCCTTAGCCAATACTATACCCCCTTTAAACCCAAGTCGATTATTATCAAGATGTAAAGAAATTAGGGTATTGTTTATACGAAGTGCTTCAGCTAATTCTTTCCCACCTTCAAAACCAATATTATTACCACTAAGATTTAAACAAGTTATTGTAGTATTTTTATATAAAAGTTCAGCCAATGCACTACCACCTTCGGGACCAAGTAGATTAAATGCAAAATTCAAAGAAGTTAAAGAGTTGTTTTTACAAAGAGCTCTTGAAATTGCTTTTCCACCTTCAATACCAAGTTGATTATAATAAAGATTTAAAGAATTTAAAGTATTATTCACATAAAGAGCTTCTGATAAAGCTTTTCCACCTTCAGTACCGAGTTGATTATAATAAAGATTTAAAGAAGTTAGAGTAGTATTCACACAAAGAGCTTCAGCCAATGCTTTTCCACCATCAGGACCGATTTTATTATCACTAAGATCCAAAGAAGTTAGAGTAGAATTTTTACAAAGAGCTTTTGCCAATGCTTTACCACCTTCAGGACCAAGTTGATTATGACCAATATTCAAAGAAGTTAAAGTAGTATTTTTATGAAGAGATCTTGCTAAAGCCTTTCCACCTTCAGTACCGAGTAAATTATAACGAAGATCTAAATGAGTTAAAGTGGTACTTTTACAAAGAGCACCTGCTAATAATTTTCCACCGTTAGGACCAAGTTGATCATCATAAAGATTTAAAGAGATAATAGTATTATTTCTATAAAGAATATCTATTAATAAGTCAGATATATTATCATAAATAATTCTATCAAGGTTTAAATATTTAAGTCTTTTACTTGTTCTTAAAAACATGGAAATTAATGAAATTTTAATAGCATCAATCATCTCTTCACATTTTTTAGAATAAGTTAAAGAATCACGAGATCCATGAACTCTATATCCCTTGTAATTAAGCCAATTTTCTATTCCTTTGTTTAAATAACTACAATAAACGGAAGAAACATAACTAGTGTATTTAAATAATGGTTTTGAATGATTTGGTAAAATTATTTTAAAGGGAATTAGACGAGCCTGTTCATCAAGATTTAATGATAAAAGGCAAACTCTTATGAATCTTTTATCATCGAAATAGATAGAAGGTTCACGCCATAATATTGGAACGACAATTCTACACCATTGACGGTTTACGAGAAGACATGAAAATAAATCTTTACGAAAAGTTCGAAGGTTATTAAAAATTTCAAAAAGGCATTCGCTTGGTAATGCTAACATTTTAAAATGGAAAAAGAAATTTAGTAAGTACGTATGTACATAAGTACGTACATAACATACAAACAGATGTTTTATGTTTAATATATATAATCTGTGATATTGTATAAGTAATGTCGTGAAACGTTATATAATTTACAAATCACAGGATTTAAACTTGTATATAAATCATGTGGAAGAAGGATATCGAATCATATTCGTTGCTATCAATTACTACCAATGCTATCAATGACAGTGTTACGGGGGTTGATAACAGATAAGGGGTAATTGAGGTGTAAAATCAGAATACTGTACCAGATTTCGATTTTATTTATTTAATTGGTTTCTTTATTTGGTATAACGATTTAGAATACCATTTATATATATTTAGATTCACTACATAGATTACCGTTACTAATTGCACATAACGATAAATTAAGATCGTCTAAATTAAAATCTACCAAATACAGGACATTTATATATCTGTTTCTCAATTATACTTAATGTTTTGTAGGCCTATAAATAGATTAGTTTTTTTGCGTTAATTTCAAAATTTGGGGTTTGAATACACATATGCACACGATACCTGAATATTGTGTTTGACAATAACCTTAATAATAAAAGAATAATGAGATTTTTAATAAACAGTTATTGAATAACCGCATTGGATCATGAAAATAAATTTTAAATTTTTTTAATACATTTGTTTTATAATTATATAAATATGCATGATTATTTAAATAGAGATTATTAATAAAAAAATTTTTTTTTAGGTTGTCAATTTTTATACTTTAATTAATGATAAATAAACACAAAAAAATTGTTGAAGCCAATTGCTTTAAAAGTTTATGAATATCTTTGTAATTGTTATTTTGAGTATATGTGCGTTACTTTAAAGTATGCGCATGTGCATTATTTTGGAATCAAATCGATTTTCTGACATAGGAAACATTTATGCAATTAATTATTTTGTTTTGATCGATATATGTGGAGTGTGCTTTGTTAGGGGTACGCATTGACTATTTTTAGCGAGCATGATATCTAAATAAGGATTATACGTATTATATTGAAAAAGCATAACGTTATTTATACCTACATTTAGGGTATTTTCTCACCCTTAGATTACAAGAGTATCAAATCGTCTTGATCGATCACTGTCAGATCTTGATCTTTCATTCGGATTTTTATTACTTATTTTATCCTTGTCACCCTGGTACATCTATAATTCTAATTTACAAGGGTGTAGAAATACAAAATACCAATTCCGTATTTTTCCTTGTAAATAGTGCAATACGATTTGATTATATTTTTAAACTAATTGTTTTATCAAATCGTTTCCTGTGACGCTATTTTTTTTTATTTTTTTTTTAAAAAAAATCCAATTTACATAATTATACTGTAAGGACAATGAAGTATTAGTCATAACCATCTATGTGCGTACGTACATTGAATAGAATATTACTGGACATTGCCCCTGTAAATACGAAAGCGAACTGTGAATATCACGTGAATCAATACTGTTCATTACAAAATCAATGGCTTGAATATGACAAAAAAACCCCCGGCGGAATCGTGATATCAGTGCTTATAGTAAATACCTTCTTAAATACCTTCTTACAATGAAACGAGAAAGTTTAAATATAGAATATAATTTATTTCATAGTAATCTATATTTAGATGACGCTCATCCTGATAGGTGCATCAGACTAATCGTTTTTTTTTTTTTTTTTTTGATAGAATTAGATAAATTTTTTATAATTCATACTATAAAACTATATAAAATATGATTCAAAATACCAATAAAACTATATAAGTGTTTATCTGCAAAATAAATTGAATTTACACAATGTAAATTGTGTCAAACTCAAAAATTCCGTATTATAATAAGGTCATCAAGTTGCCGAAAAGTATTTACACGTCTTTGTAACAATAGAGACATTAGTCGTTTAATGCCAAAAGCAGATGAGTGAAATAGAGTATCGGCTTCAAGGGAATTTGCCCTAAGTTTTACTATATTACTTTGTCAAAAAGTGTGAATATCACGCTCAAATAATCTTGAATACAATGAGACTTCATAAATACAACCTCCTAAATGGGACCCCCACAGCAAAAAGGGAGAAATAGGCCAAAAATTTCTTAGTTCATAATTTTATAAAAATAAGATGCCCATTACGCTAATTCTTCACCCCTTTTGCTGTGGGGGACTCCAAATGCAGCTTCTCCCTAAATATGGCCTCAAACCATAACTCAAATATATGCTCAAAAGTTTGGTCATTATGAACTGTATTTAGGGTTCTACTGCATGAGTTTTATGAAAAAATTTGACTTTTCAAGCATTAGATAGTTTTTGTGAATTGTCTTTTTCCATGTTAATTATTATAGCGTATTGGACATTGTTAACACAAATTAAAACTCAATATCGCTTTAGTAGTTAGAACGACCCTACCATAACTCAAAATTAGTTACATGATTAGTATTTAAAATTTTGATTGCTACATTTTGACGTTAATCAAATAATGAGTAAAAAAGAATTCGAAAAATAAATCTGAATCAAAATTTTTTTTTATTAAAAGAAAATGGTTTATCCGAAATTCGAAATTCCTAAATTTCTACTCGATTAATATAATTAGAGGTGCTTATTGTTTACAAAAATACCTTAAGTGACTTTATTTTTTTAATAAACCGTATTTTTATTTGTCCACCCATGCTCTTGGAAGACTCTTTGCACGCTTCAATTGCTTTATATTATTTACGGATTACTTTTTAATTCATTAAGAAACTTGATTCAAGATTTAAAGCTAACCATCTTTTTTTTGTTTCGAGATTTGACTAAATATATGCTCAATGACATATTTCGTTATGGATTTTTATGAGTAATTTTCTATAATTTCTAATTCAATTCAGATTCTTTAACATTTCTCTCATCCACTCCAGTCATATTATTTTTGTCCGAAATAATAATACTCATTAGTTAGCTTCTATAATAAAAATATAATTCAAGTTTTGATGAATTTAAATTATTAAAATTTTAATTTTGTAAATAATATTCTATTTGTTGAAAAGTAAATACAATAGAGTATATCTACTGCCTATTACCTACTATCGTATACCCCGTGCCTCCACCTAATTTCCATAAGTTTAATAACCCAGACAGTAGTTCATTAAAATATTTGTATATAATATTCTAAATAATGTACATCGAAACATATATTATGAAAACAAACATTCATGT